CATGACAACCTCTCCCCTTCTTCCCTCCTCAGTTATTCATGCCAGTGCTGTTAAATACTTCCTTTTTCCATAACAACTCCGTTGTTCAAACTTTTATTGCGGACTGTTAAAGATGCTTTGGGTGGAAACTTGTTTTACTGAATCTTCAGGTTAATATAATTAAGTGCGGAAAATCTTAATTTCAAATCTGAAGCTTAAAATAGTGATTTAATGGCTTAAAGAAAATGGGAATTGAACAAACTCACAAAAAATGGAGGTATTGGGCCGGCCGAGTGGCTCAGGTGGTTAAGAGAGTGAGCTCAGCAACAGGGCCGCCAGTTCAATTCCCACATGGGCCAGTGAGCTGTCCCGAGCTGAGCTGTCACTGAGCTGCCAACAGGTGGCAGGATGGCTCAGCTGGTGAGAGCATGTGCTCCTAACAATAAGGCTGCTGGTTCGACATCCCACGTGGGATGGTGGGCTATGCCCACCAGCAACTAAGATTGAACACAGCATCTTGAGCTGAGCGGCCACAAGCTGTTGTTGGACTGCCGAATAGCAGATGGGTTTGGAGCTGAGCCAGCTGTGCCCTCCACAACTAAGACTGAAGGACAACAACTTGCCTGTTCCTCTTCCCCAGTTCCCCAATAAAATCTTTAAAATACACGCGCACGCACACACGCGCGCGCGTGCGCACACACACACACACACACAAATTCATGCAATGAACAAAATGTATAAAAAAAAATGGAGGTCTTTAATTGTCAAGTTCAGTTTAGTTCAGTTCATGAAAGGCATCTCTTTCCCTTATCACTTTTTGGTACTCCCATGAAATCAAGTAGGCCCTCTTCTCTAAAGACTCCTTTGGTATCTTTTAGCTTTGCAGTTTTTAGCTGTTCCGCCAACAACCCAGCTCAGCCTTCAAGTCTATGTGTCTGAAAGGTGGTTGGGTTTTGTGGTGATGGGGTGACACAGGTTGTGTATTGATTTGGCGCAGCTTCCTCTCAAAAGTTGTGCTATTGAGAGTGCTGTGTCACTGTCATTCATAAGGTCGGTCTCTAGGCCGTTGCTCAGCCACCCTTTTCACCTGTCTCTGGCATTGCGTGTCACTTTTCTGTGGCGTTAGGGAACCTGCCATTGATCACAGCATTGCAGCTTACTTTCTAAGCTAGTTTCTAATATATAGCTCCTCCTTCCTATTATTTTGCGCCTCAGACTCATCTACAATATGACTTAGCTTTGCCAGAGCAGACAGCGAACAGCTGTATATGTGATTCGGCTTGGTTTGTCTAAAATAATTCACACTGCCCTCTTTGGCCCTCCTCCTGCCTTTGATGGAGACAAGCAGGACCAGCACTGGCAGGCACTGGAAATCTTTGTTTTATTTTCAAATCTACCTGTCTAGCCAAGCAGTCACATGTGCTGCTTACGGTCCCCAGACTCCTGGCCTCTGAGATGCACACGTTTTCTCCCTATTGTATTCAAACATGAACCTGGGTGTTGCTGGAAAGAATTTGAAAATGTCATTACAGTCCCAAATCAGTTGACCTTTAAGATAGGGAGGTGATCTGGGGACCTGACTTGATCACCTGTGCCCTCTCAGATTTGTCTGAAGCAGTTAAAACAGAAATGTCAGACATTCTAAGCATGATAGGCATTTGATGGAAAGGCGTTTCTTGGTGCTGGCTTTGGAAACGGAGGCAGCTCATGGCAGGAGACTGGGAGCAACCTAAATTTTACCCGGTACCTGGAGGAGCTTAGAAGAGGACTTTGGGCTTCGATGAGTGAGGCCCTGAGCAGCTAAACCAATCACAGTGTTATATACGTGCTGGACTTTTGACTTACAGAATTGTAAGAAAATAAGGGGTGTCGCTTTAATCCTTTGTGTTTGTGGTGGTTTGTTAAAAAGCGGAAGGCCGTTAATGCATTGTGTATTTATTTACAAGTACTCGAGTTAATTAGCACTTGACCTAAGTTTTTCATGGTTTCATGTGACTTCTGTCTTCAGTCTCCCACTTGGTCATGAGTTCTGCTCACATCACAGGGAACTCTGGAGAGGAGGGCTGGAGGGGAAGCTGTTCCTAGGAGTTGATAAGCAGGTCTGTCCAAGGACAGCGTCCTCTGCCTCCCGTGCTGTGGGCTGCCCAGCTCCATGAGGCCCGCTCACTCAGCTGAGCGCACCACCAGGCAAGCCTGCTGGCTCCTTCCTGAGACCTTCCTTCCTTGTTACTCCAGACTTTTTGAACAACCTAAGCACATGGCCCTTCTCCTCTGAGCAGGAGTTCGTTTCTGCAGGGTGTGGCCCAGGGCCTTTCCTAGGCCTCACACCCTGCTGCCAGGCTTCTGGAAGCTCCCCGTGTCTTTCCTTACCTCCAAACTCTGCTGCAGTGCCCCACCTTCAGTCCTGTCTTTTTAAAGGATCCCCAGATTACCTGTCCTCTCACACCCTGTCTTCTTCCTCTTAACTGAGATTGAGGGCTCAGAGGTCATGGAGGAAAAACATTAAGAACGAATTCAGAGGGGCCGGCTGAATGGCTCAGTTGGTTAAGAGCTCGCTCAAGAGTTTGAGCTCTGAGCAACAGCGGTTCGAGGCCAGCCCATGTTGAGCAGCCGCTAAGCTGCCAATAGGTAGCAGGATGGCTCAGCTAAAAAAATAAATTAATTAATTAATTAAAAAAAACGAATTCAGAGAGGCGAACACTGGTTGTCAGCCTACAGGACATCTAATTGTAAATGTATATTAGTTGAAGAAAGCATGTCATCGGTGCACTTCCAGGATTTAAGGGGGACATTTTTATTTCTGTGACTGTTATTCTACTTATATGTTTACATAAAGCTTGAGGAAGAAGAATTTTATCTTCCATGCTCTCTTCACACAGCTTCTCCCTGCAGCATCATGGCCGTAGCTTGAGGCCCCAGCTGGATCTATACCCACGTAGTGGTGTCATGATCCTGTGTCCCCACCCAGGAGTGAGGATCCAGCTCCTGAGAAAGTCTCCCCCCAAGGCAAGAGGAATTCCATGCGTTGGGGGCTCCTGGCTCTGAAGAACTTTGAGGGCACTCAGCTCCCTGCTTCCTAACCCTGACTGTGTTGTCATAAGCTTCCCTCTGGGTACCCCTCAACCCCTTCCTCAGGACCCATTCGTGGCCACAGGAAGATGCTGGCCCTCGTGATGGCTGGGCAGAGTTCTGCTTCTCTGGGTAGAGGAGGGGGTGTCTCCTGTGGCATCTGCCTGTCATGGGCTGTCTGGGCACAGCCACTCTCCCCTGGGAGCTAAGGGTGCTCAGCTCCACATTGTCCCACTTTGGCAAAGTGGCAGGTCTGCATTGTCAGCATTACCGAAATTCCCCAGCTGGTCTGAAAGCCTTCGAGGTGTGTTAAATGTTTACAAAACACAGTGAAGAGCTCTCATTCACATAATTTTTAGAACTCAGGTATATGACCCTGACTTTTTTGGGTAATATGGAAGAAAGATACTGTAACTCCATTTCAGAAAAAAATGAAATGCTTAAAATAATCCAAGATTCAATAGTAGATGAAGCTGTAGAAGATGAGTAAAGCGCTGGTGAACTAGATTTTCGTGCTATTTTAGATGACATTGACACTTCAAAAACCCTTTCAATCAAAAATTACTTCATCTTTTTTTAAATTTTGGGTTTTGCCCATTATTTTTGCCCATATTCTTCAAATATTTCTACTTTCCATTTTCCAAATATTAATATTTCTATTTATACCCCACATTTCTCTATTTTTTCTTTGATTTTATAGCTTTATCTTTAAAAATATTCTAAATGTGTATTCTTTCTTGCGGAATTCTGAACTAAATCGTCAGTCTGATCTTCCAGGTCACTACTAGATTTTTATCTGCCTATCTCATCTATTACCTTTATATCTCATATTTTTATACCAATATTTCTCTTGTTTTTTATGTGATTTATTGCTTCAGTTCCCTGCTACCTTGTCATGTCTCCTTGACATCATGCCTATTTTTAATTCCTGGTCTCACCCTTCCAGCTTCAAGTCTGCACTATTCATATTCAGCCTGTGCTAGGTTATGTTGTGACCACAACCAAACCCACAACCTCAGTGGGATTTAGACTGAAAGAGGATGCTATCTGGAAAATGCCATTTTCTTGGCAGAGGACAGAGTGAAAGAAGGCTTTTAAATCTCAATCATAGATACCACTTCTGCTCACACTTCGCTGGCCATAGCAAGTCATGTGGCCCAGCCCAGTGTTACTGAGTGGAGAAGTGCCTGCATGTCAGACTGCATGGTGGTCCATCACGACATCACTGTGTTCTCTAATACACTGCTCTCCTCACAGGTCCTGCTGCTGGAGATGTGAGCTTAGCTTCTGTCTTGTTGTGTGTAGGAGGACAGGCAGGAGCCAAGCCTTGGGAGGTGATCCCGAAGGGGAGCTCCAGATTCACACACAGACTGCTGATCCTTTCAGAGGAGGGAGGTAGTGTGTGGCTTAGAACGTGGGCCAGAGCCAATGGCCTACATTCACGTTCAGGTGCCATGTATGACTGGGCGAGTTAATTAACTTTCCTGTGCCTCAGTGTCCTCATCTATAAAATGAGGATCGTAATAGACCCAAACTCATGAGGCAGATCTCATGTAACTGCCCGTTTTTCCTCCTGAACTGAAGCACATGTATCAGTGGAATTCGGGAGCAGAGGACTCGATTCAGGATATGTAGGAAGGCAAGCCCGTGTTGCAGTGAGACAGAGGGTCTATGTTAGTCTCAGCAGCTTCCCCGCTGGACGGGAGAGGCCTCACCTGGGTGGAGACTCCTTCACTGTTTGACCGACAGCTGTCCCTCAGTAAACACTAGTGGAGTGGCTAAATGCATTGTTGTGTGTAACTTTAAACCAGTGTAAATAGTGTAAGTAGGTTTATATATTTGGATATGTAGTTGATAATTTTAATGTTTAGCATTAAATTAACATCTAGTTTTTTTAACAACTGGAAATTATCTTTGAAGCATTTGTGACAATTTTGTTTTTGTTTTTACAGGCCAGTTGGAATGCCAAAAATGGAAAAAGTTTACTTACATAATCCTAGTTCTGAAGAAACTATTACTTTAGTATCAATATCTGCTACAACATCACATTTTCATGCATCATTTTTTCAAAATAGGGTAAGTTTTGCTGATTTATGGTAGATTTGAGTTTGAAATTGAAATATCTAGATTTTTTGGATGTATAATTTTATTTTGCTGTAATTAAAATCTGATTAGAATGTTTCAGATTTGTTCTGGATTTCAGTTTTCCCCGTTTCCTAAGAGTTAACCCTTCTAGTCTTACACATGTTTTTCTCAACATGAAACAGCTTGACAAATCAACTTGGAACCTAAGCATTCTGGAAAACGTAGCATTTGTATATTCAGTGGATTTTCTTTTTTTTCCTAGTAGTAGGTAATTCCTCGGTGTTGTGTTAGTATCCTATTGCTGCATAATAAATTCCCACAAACGGGATGGCTTAAAATAACACCCCCTGTTAGCACGTAGTTCTGTCAGTCAGAAGTCGGTGGGTTCTTTGCTCCGGGAATCACAAGACTAATGGAGATGTTGGCTGCGCTGACCTTGACTGGACACTGGGGAAATGCAGTCACTTCCCATCTCACGCGAGTTGTTGGCAGAAGTCAGTTCCTTAAGGCACTCACATACCTTGTCACCATTTCTAAGCCAGCACTGGTGCGTCAATCTCCCTTGTACCTCAGATCTCCTTGGCTTCCTCTTTTGCCACCAGTTGAAGAAAATTCTGCTTTGATCATTGGGTCAGGAGCACCTGGGTAGTCTCTTTTTTGTTAAACTCAGAGTCAGCTGACTAATAACCTCAATTATACCTGCAGAATCTCATTTATTGGGTAATGTAAATAATCACAGGTGCGGTATCACCTCTATTGACAGTCTCAAAAATCAGGATACGTAGTTTGGGGGGCTGTTTTAGGGTTCTACCTACCACAAGTATCCTCTAAAATTGTATTTATAATCATTTGTGTAGATAGTATGCAAACTTGTTATTAAAAGTAAAACTTCTTTGCTAAAGATGAATCTTAATAAATTTTGAATTTGAGAGAATACATTAAGCTTTAACATATAAGCTTCCAAAATTAGCTAAATAGCAAATATCAGAGTGAAGTAAATGAATGGAGTCTAATTTCATCCTCCCTGAGTTTTCACTGACTCCTTTGAAGTGACCTAACTAGATAAATTAGCAGGCGCTTTTTTAAGCACATAAAATTGCAGCAGTTATTCAGATTTTTACATTTGTCCTCTCTAAAATTCTGTTTTATCATATATTGTCATATAAGCTAGCAACTTCTAAAGTAAAAACAAAAGGGATATATAATGTTGGTTTTTTGAATTTATAGTATTTTATATATATGTCAGCATATTTTAATAATAAATTTTTTTTTTTAAGATTTTATTGGGGAATTGGAGGGAACAGCGTTGGGGAATCGGGGAAGGGGAACAGACAAGTTGCTGTCCTTTTGTTCTTTGGTCTAATGGAGGACGTCACTTCACTGGCCGATGTTGATATAATCATTGTGCTCTTCTTGGCTGAGGCAGATAGGTTGCCGGCTGTTGGGCGGCCACTCACAGCAGCTTACGGCAGCTCATGCCGGCTGCTGGCCACTCACGGTAGCCCCACTGCAGTCTATGCCGTTGCCGGTGACTCA